GCAGACTGACAATTCTAGAGACCAATAGAAAAAGAAAGTAGTGTATTAGCAGACATAGGCAAAGTGCGCAGGTTGTTAGGATTGCGCTGCCTATAGTGTGTGATGCCTGGTTTGCGAGTGGTAGTAATAGTAGGGATATGGAAACACATAGTAAGAGTTGGTCATAAAAACTGAAACAGAAGTGAAGAAAGGTGTAAAAAAAGAGGTTGAGTCAAAAGCAATACTTATGTCCTTAACACAAATACTTATGTCCTTAACACAACTTCAGCACGTCGTCAGAAAATATGAGTGTATTTAGAGATTCAAATTCAAAATAAAACCAGTTTCACTCATATAACTAGAATTTGCATTTCTAGAAATAAATCTCTATATGCTGTATTCCCAATATTCCACAGAAAAATCATAGTTTAGTATGCAGATAATATGACAATGTTATCATTGTTGGCTATCTTTTGAATTGCAAATATCAGTGTAATCACTGTCGATGTCGAATTGAGAATTTGAGAATTAGATGAGAATTTCTCACATTTGGTCAATGAGAATTTCTCACATTTTAATCTTTGTAAATATAAGTACTTGTCTCAAGCAAATGCTGCAAATTCATTAATTTCAAATGCTACGTTGATTATTGTCCTTCTCCACATTTCCAAACCATCTTCATGATGCTAAAGTGCTCCTGTAATATGAAACAGTCCCGAACAAATAGTCCTACACTATTTAAAAAAAAAAAATCCAGTTTTAACCAGGCAACCACCTTAAAAACATGTGGTGATGTGAAAGCCACATGATGAATCAAACCTCAACACGAGTTGAGGTGAATATTAATATATTGAAGGTGCACACAGTGTCATACAAATACTAAACGCCATCATGCGAATACACATGCCACTAAAATAATGCAATTAATATTAATTTAACAACATTAATGTACATAATTGATGAGAAAAAAAAAAAGAAAAAAAAAGAAGCATAGTTATTGCTCGCCACTGATATATAGGGAACATACCATTAGATAATTAACAGATTTTTACAATAGCATTTTTACAGTCTTGTACTAATAAAATTTCTATCATTTTTTATTCAGACGACAAGCATTCAAAGGCATCTATGTGTTGCATCCATGCAGCTTCATTACAAAATAGCTTTGACTCCTCAAGACTCTCCAGGAGTTCTCCCACATATGTCAACCTTGCAAAGTCTCCTCGCATCACACTAAAAGTGTCATTTAGATGCACATTCCCTGTTCGTGACTGCTGCCTTCACAAATTGCCTCGGCTAATGGGTATAAATGGCGCCGAGCGCTCCTCTGCTGAGCAGGATTTATGAGGGCGCTCCACTTGTCAAGCCGAGGCATCGCACAAAGTAATCGCTGTGTGTTTTGAGCAGCCCTTTGCAATTGAAATCAGATTGGACAAGAATAGCAGTAATGGGTGAAGACTGTCTGTCCCTCAGGCTTCCTCACTGCAGTTGGAGAGGACTGAGGTTGAGCCTGGGAGTAATACTAAACGCTGTTTAATCATTATGAGGGTCAGATGGCAAACACTTCTCGTATGCTTCATTTATTTATTTGTAGGATGCCACACAGAGTGCTAATGAAACGCCAGATACAGTTGAGCATTGCGGTTTGGCTGCTGGTGACAGCATGTTTGGCAAAATGTCAGTTACCACAGAAAATCATCTTGACTTGTCAGTCAAAGTTTGTGGTTACTGTACAGCAGTGGAAACACATGGGGCATTGCAGCAGACATATAAAGATATATCCAATCTTTCAACCTCAGTGTCATATCCTTGTAACACTGCATGAATATGCACAAAATATACACAATGATAAAAGAAAGAGGAGAAAACTCTAGAATTGATGTTGGTGGACCTACCTGTAGGACAGTTTCACATTTCTGCTTCAAACCCTGTGTAACAATGACTTTGTGGAAGAAATCTGGGATCAGTCCCGATGATTTTCTGCGCTGATAAACTTGCCACAAATGCTGTCAATAGACTAAATAAAGCAAAAAACTTTAATTTAACCAGCTGACCTTTGATTGACGAGTTTCTGTTTTGCTGTTGGACACTATGGCAATGCTGGTCCACCAGCTAGACTAGCAAAAAAATCTAATAATAAAATACATATCCAGCATTACACATTTTGTGAAAGTGTCTATTTTGTGTCTATTTTATTTAAAGGCACAATATGTAAGATTTTTTTATTAAAACGTCCAAAAACTACTAGAACAGTGTTATATATTTTTCTGACTTGTGTACTTACATTATCCCAAATGTTTCGAAGAATGTTTAAATCCAGAGAAATAAGCAATTTTAACTAGTGACACAGACCGTGTCCATAGTGTCATTGTGTCGCCTGCCAATGACGTCATAACCCCTAGATTTTCCTAGGTTTTTTAGAAAACATGGAAACACCAAAGACGCTTTAATATGTTGTGAGTTTTAATAGAAAAGTTTGAAAAGTTTGTCATTAATCACTTACCCTCATGTTGTTCCAAACCCGTAAAAGCTTCGTTCGTCTTTGGAACACTTCGTCTTTTAAGATATTTTGGATGAAAACCGGGAGGCTTGTGACTGTCCCATTGACTGCCAAGTAATTAACACTGTCAAGGCCCAGAAAAGTATGAAAGACATCGTCAAAATAGTCCATCTGCCATCAGTGGTTCAATCTGAATTTTATGAAGCGACGAGAACTATTTTTGTGTGCAAAGAAAACAAAATATCGACTTTATTAAACTTTTTCTTGTCCTCCGTGACACTTCCTGCGAGCAGACCATGACGCATGCGGACAGATGAAACACGCCTCAGATGAGCGCGCCTCAGATCACGCGTGACGCATGCGCCGTGATCTGCAAACGTAGAGGCCAGCATACAGACAGAGAACCCGGAAGGCGCTGTGTTTACACCAAGGGGCAACCTCCCGCTCTCTCTCTATTAAGCCTTAAAGTTCTGCATAATTAAGGGCGTGGCCACTTGAGTGACAGGTGGATTGCCGCTGCTGACACTGCCGTCGAGCTAGGTGGGCATGGCTTCAGCAACCAGCTCCCGCCTTTTTGCCCATTTTCGATTATCCGGGAGTGACGCGCTACCAAGATGGCGACAGCCCTCTCCGCCCACTTTGAGCTTCAAAAACGCTCTTCAGAAAACTACGGGTGATGTCACGGACACTACGTTCATGTTTTCATACAGTCTTTGGTTTACACACAGAGGAGATGCACGCTGGGGGGGTTAGTTTTTTTTTAAGTTTTTGCTTAATCCGATAACATTTTCGGGAAAAAGAAATTCCTCTCTGGGGCAAAATGAGGGTTAAAGACTTGCGATCTCAAAACACTTACTGTAGTGCATAATTTGTTAACTAATTTGGATGTTTGCATCATATAATCAGCTCCATATATATGGCTTTTCCGATGAAGTAAACTTGCTCGGTAGCTCACCTGGGAGAGCACTGCACATGCATTATGGAGTCCATAAATCACAAGTCACGACTCTCGATAACCGAGATCAAAGACTAGTCAAAGCAAGATAAAATGCTGTGGTTGCTTCAGCAAATATGTTTTTATCTCACGTTTGCTTTTGTTAACACTATCACTTAGGTTTAGTGTAGCTGGTACAAATGCAATAAAGCTTTAACTTCTTAGCGGATCCTAAGAAGGTATGTATGGTACGATATATATGTATGATATGTATAAAACTCAATGTAATAAAACATTTAACATTCATCTGTTTATGATAAACTCTATACACTTTTAGCACCACTCACTGGACATCTAAACGTGTTGCAAAACGCACAAGAAGCAAAGTCGTATCAGTTTGCAGAAATGACGCTACAGGCATGTTTTTCCAGTGAGTCAGGGTTGAAGAAATGAGATGCACTTCCTCGGCTCTAATAATGCCTGAACACCTTAGCATAGCTTCAAGGTTGATGAAGTCTAAATTGTTTTCACCCTAGCAATGTATTAAACGTGGTGTATAATTGTGACTTTATTGTATTACACCGTTGAGACTTTATTTCTCATATTAGCAAACAAGTTTTATTAGCCCCTCGGCATGTCACATTTGCCAAACATAAGATTGGGGTTATTAGATGCTGAATGAGTCATTTTGATATAAAATCTAAATTATGAGAAGTTTCTGTAGCGATTGCAGAATGTGAAGACACCATCTTATTTTCTTATTTGTTTACTCCAAAGAGGCTGATGCCCAGGGATCTGGAAGCACCGTAATCGCTCCTCGATGTGTTAGCATGGTAAAACACCACGTACTGTCCAAATAACAATAATCAAGGACCCTTTTAAGATCACAATTGCACTGTACAAATTTCCTCCTGTCAGGTGCCTGCCACTATAAAACACAAAGCCTAAAGTAAAGAGCGCTGTTGCATTCAGCTAAAAGCATCAAAATTATATGTTCAGACGAGAACCTTAAACACAATGGCTGTGCCTGAATCATCGACACTCAAGAGGAGAGCTTGTAATCTTTAAAAGGTCTTGAAACGCCTCTCTGATGTCTCTGTTGAATTACTCATGGTTATGCGAGTGTAATTTGTATGATAAATGGAGTAAATCTGGAAGGCTCTTGAAGAGAAATATCAAAGAATGATGAAAGCTGCTCCTCCACCCTCGCCTCCACCTTCAGCAACGGCCGTAAACGAAACCCTGAAGCAGGCGTGGTGAGTGTGTGTGTGTGTATCGGTGTTTCCTACATATTCTGTTTGTTTGTGGGGGGCACCGACTCAGTCCTTTAAAAAAAAATTACTTGCAAAACACAAACAAAGCCATTTTCCACCCCAAATTATGTTTTTATGATTACTATTTTTAAAAGCACAATGTTGTATATATATATAATTTTTATTATAGCATTTATTACAACATTATTACAATGGTATTACCATATTATTATTATTATTATTATGAAATGTATTTTATTTAATTATAATGCCCTTTATACAACATTATTACAACATCAGCATTTATTCTTTTATTCTTATTATTTTAATATTATTTATTTTATCCACTTTTGTATTTTATATCATCTTCTTATATTTTACTCTTCTTATTTTTATCATAAAAAGAAATGATAAGGATGTTGTGAAAGGCAATCATCTGTGGGATATATCTTTCTGAGGTGAAATAGGTTCAGGACGGTTCCAGTTGTGTAATATTGAGTCTGGACATTTTTACAGCAATATTCAATTTGGTGCGCCAAAGTCATAGGTGCTTAAAACATGCTTTTGAAACACAATCCCTTTTTCCACAGTGTGATAATACAGAGTATGACAGTGATAAAATGACAGGGAGTTAATAGTTTCATCCATTTTGTGTCTGAACAATGACTCAGATGGAGTCAGAGGGATGCATTGAGCTAGGAACTTAATCAGAGTGTATCTCCAGACTCAAAGAAAGCGTCTGAGATGAAGACTGTGGTTAGTCTGTCAGAGGAAAGGCAGGAATTGCCTTGTGTCAGTCCTGATTCTCTCAGGGTGATCAGGGCTGCTTCGGTTTGGTGTCATGAGATGCCAGTTTATCGCTTTTCTCTGATTGAACACTGAACAGTAGAAATACACAAGATTTATTAACCAATATTTTTCACAATGATATTCATTCAAATATATTCACACAAATTAGGCCCACATCAAATAAAACAAAGCACTAAATAATTCATTTTTTGGCTTTCATCTCATTGTTTTAGTGAGGTTTGCTTACATCAGTCAAAATTGGTCACAAGTACAAACGTCCATCTCTGGAGGGTAAATATGGATGTTTCTTTCATCTCCTGCCTTTGATAGATCATGAAATGGCAGGCAACTCCAAAGTCTACATTACCTCAAAGTGTTGTGACGAACAAAGCTTTGGGATTTTGTAGGGTTTTCCTCACTGCGCAACCGAACCAAGTTCTGTTAATGATCAACAAAGTTCAAAATTTACGAATTGACGTCCATTCCACCGATGAGCTGGAATGTGAATGGGCCACAAACAGGACAGGAAGGGAAATGTACAGAATTGCGTTTAAACAAATTCAACACAAGTCACACAACAGAGGAATTTCATTGGTCCAACACAACAACAAAATGAGCAAGAACAAATAATTTTTATTTAGCTGTTTCCACCTTGTACACTTAAAAAAACTTAGAAATTACTAGTTAATTTAACAATTACAAAGATAAAGCAAGGAGCACGTTGAATTAAATGAAAAAAAATTAAGGTAGCAAACTGAAAAATTTGTGTTTTTAAATTGTATTTGCTATTTTGACAAATCACTTTTTACAGTGTATGGTTGCTTCATGTTGGTTTGACTCCGTGATGTTATTCCACTATAGTCAAAAAAGATTTTATTAGAATTAAATACATTTTGAGATTGCTCACAAATTTCTATATATTTCATCCAATGATCTAGTGTTTTTGGAAATACCCCATATGCTGTGTGTGTGATAAAAATGATCATGGACAATTTATATGTAAAATGAAATTATTATTAAATTTAATTGAACTTTCTTAGAACAGCAACTAATCTCTTTGAATTTCATACATTCTTACAGTTTAAATTTAACCCGGAATTCTGCATCCTGTTTGCTTCCTCTGAAGTCAGTTCAAAACAGAATTAGAATTTCAAAGGCATTTTTCACCTGCTGTTTGCTGAAATGTAATCAGGATATCATTGGCACTAATTTTTAATTAAGGCTTTCTCTTTTTCTGCATCTGTCTCCAGGCCACCACGGATCTGTATGGAAACTGCACACTGCGTCATTCGGGCACATCTGCTGCTGCCCCTGAGGCCGCTGGCGTGTTTGCCCTGGCGTTGGAGGCCAAGTATGTACACTTTTGTTTTCCAGCGCTCAGCTCTGATGAGTAGTGAGCCTCTATCAAAGATTTATGAAACAATAAGGCAGCGTTGCTGGCAGACGGCAGCTGAGATCGTAGATTACTGCAGACGAGGGTTGTGTCAGAGCGCAGCACCGCAAGCACAACTCCCGCTCGAAAACCTCCCTGATGTATGATTGATAGCCTTTAACACAGAAATGGTGCTGATGCCAGAGTCGAAGCTGCGTTCCCGGTGATTAGAGAGTTGAATGATGATGCTACAAATAAACATGCTGCTTCACGCTCCTTTACTTATAATGTCTTACTACTCGATTTGAAAACTTATATTCCACCCAAAGTCGTTTCATTTTGCATCTTTATTCCTTAATAAGCAGCTTCTGTTGTAACATTCAGCCATTCATTCATTCTCCAAAATCCCTGAACAGATGGCCAGTCTATCACAGTCAGAAGTTCAGTAAATAAGTACCTGGACAGAAAAAGTATAGCTGGAGCAGCATGATAAATGTGTGAATCAGGGCTGAGATTGTACTCTGGCAGCAGCAGCGTTACTCTGCTTGAGGAAAGGAGGGTATCACTGTTCGTTTCTGAGACCCTCGGGTGAGACGCTTCATATCCACATACTTTCAGCCGTTGATGAGGAATCAAACTGGCGAGTATGTTGCTGATCACCTCGTGAAAAGGAAATTGAAAGTCGCTTTTGATTCAAGCCAACAATTACCCCATGTTTCTCTGAATGCCAGAAAACAAATCATATTTGGCTGCATCTGGCACTTTAGACTCATTAGAAGAGTGTGAAGCTCACAGTGGTGAACGAAGTACACAAATCTAGTACTTGAGTAAAAGTACAGATCCGTATAATAAAATATTGCTCCAGTAAAAGTACTCCGTTTTCAATTTTACTTGAGTGAAAGTACAAAAATACTTGATTTTTTATGTACTTAAGTAAAAAGTACTGATAGATGAATGTTTATTTTGCAGTTTTATATAGGCTACTTTTATCAT